AGAGTTGATTTTATTCTGATATTGACTTGAACTCCTTCCTGTCTGATACACAGCCTCTCCTGTTTTTAGGAGCCTGATGCGTACGCCGCTGTCCACCCAAACTTTCTTTGTATCAACATTTCTGCAGCGCTGCATGGCCTCAGTAACTGGACCCAAACTTTACTGAAACTAAATGTAAACAATGAATTTATTGATTTAGGTTCCTTGGAGAACTGAACTGCAGTCAGACCCTAGTCAGTGTGGGCCTGACTTAAGACATTATCAGAGATAAAATGATTAGCACCATTTTATCTGACTTTAGAACAACTTTAAATCACATGAAACTAACAATCTTAGGATATATCAACTATCAGTTTAATTGAAACATCATATCACAGCCATTAACACTGAGGCATTAAGTTGACTGACTTAAGTTAACTGATGAATCCTATTTAGGTGTTTTATGTGTGGATTGCAAAGCCATGAGGTTCAGGCTGCTGCATTTAAGTGTTCTATACATTTCTATTTTCTATTTTTACTTTAATTTGTAGAAAAAATAGACTTTTTTTTAGCTTTTTTTATTATTACATTATTTATTGATTTGGGTTCCTTGGGGGACTGCAGTCAGACCCTAGTCAGTGTGGGCGTGACTTAAAATGTTATCAGAGATAATTTCCTTCAAATATGTCCAATACGATTAGCAAAGTTTTATCTGTCTGATAGATTAACTATCAGTTTTATTGAAACAAATGACATTTACAGCCATTAACACTGAGGCATTAAGTTAATAGATTTCTAAATCAAACATTTTTCATATAATCAATCAGAATGTCACTCAAATGTCTTATTTTCTCCTACATCCACAGAAAGTGATGAAAATATTTACCTTAGGCAGCCTTCAGATCAGATGTGTTTCCTCCACCTGAGTGAAAGTGGTTGTCCTCTGCAATCACTCAGTCATCAGCGTATATAGTTACTGACATCAGGCTGCTGTTAGACACACCTACCTCAGCTGTTCCTGAGAAACCAGGATCTGTTAACATGTTAAACCCAGAGGAGGTTGGAAATTGTTGATGCCTGAAAATACACACTTTAAATACATCAAGAATAGCTTTACAGTGATAAAGCCTGAATGCAAATTTCTTGTAAATGTATAAAGGTCAGCTAAGAATATTTTCCAATGGAACCACTATTATAACTTTACCATGCCTGATTTATCGTTGGTTAAATAGAGGAAATGAATCTGAGCAACAGAGCAAAACACCAAAAAGTCTGTTTTGAAAATTTGGTAGACGCCTCAGGCTACCAACAAAGCCTCAAAGGGTTTACAGCAGCGGCGGCTGGTGGAGTTTATTCCAGGCGAGGTATAAATTCAAAATAGACATATATCAAAAACCAATCAAACGTATACTAGGTTATCACACCAGTATATTCATATGAATGCCAACGGCAAAAAACATTATAAAAACACTATAAAAACCAAACATAATTTCATGTACAGGTTTACTTTTTGTACATAAATCTTGCCCTTCTGAGCCTTTGTGAAGGTAAATCTGTGTTTTGCATGCTCCAATATGGTGTCACATACCATAAATAAAAGTACCAGTTTTATAATAGGGAAGCTATTAGTCAGGTTTATACTTTTTTTAAATAGACAAACTTTTTATTTTCTGAGAATGTGTTTATTAAAGAGAAACTATTGAAATTAACAAACATCTAGAAAAGGTACACTATATTATATTATTTTCCATGTGTATCCCAGATTGTTATTTCTTTATTCATTGTTTATAAAAAATTATGTTATAAAAAACAATTATATTTATTTTTTATGTCTTAATTAGGGTCAGTGAGTGGGTGGGGCGACGCCCTAGTGGCCTCTATTGGCCATCCGCCACTGGTGTAGACGCCAATATGCTGAGTGCAATTATAATCTTTTCCTCTAAAACCTTAAATAGCACTTTTTAAACCTTAAACTCATCCAAAGCATCAGTGGATGTCAAAAACAGATAACAATTTACCTGTGGACAGGTGAAACTCTCTAATGTGAAGCATAGAGGCACAGGGTGAGTGCATCTTTTGATCTTACCTCTTTTCCAACTGGAGCCAGTAATGTCACAAGACAATCTTTTCTAGAAGCTCATTACTATCCAACATGCGTGTTGTATTTCTTCCTGCTTCTGCATTAAAATATGTAAAATAATGATCTTTGTCGAGTATTTTTGCCATACAGGTTGGATGGATGTTACCGGGCCAGTCAGACATAAGTCCTCTTTAAAAACAAATCCAAATTATCAAGTGGCCTGGGTCGTATTTTAAATATTCAGATCGCTGTTGTTCAGGCAGCCATGAAATGATCAAACAGGTCGCATCTGGACAAAAAATTGGCTACGGTTACTTCAGGCTGCATCGTGATCATAGCCTAAAATTTGTAGCACAGCAAGTGTTTTGTAATGCCACAGAGCCTTATGAAAGGCTTTAGTGTGAAACAGAAATCATTTGCATGTTTTCTAGAAAAAGAAATGTAAATGATGGGAAAGGAAAACTATTTAAATTAAGTTGTAATAATTATAAACTGTAAGTGAATCTGCCGGTTGACATTTACAGACTGGCTGATGAACAGGTGGGAAAAAAAAAAAACTTAAGAAGTTTTGAAAAAAACACACTGCATTGATCTTTGAAGTTTCACATATAGATGTTCTATGTAGTGACATACTGGTGACCTGTCCAGAGTCTGTCCTGCCTTTTGCCCATAGACTGCTAGAGATGGGCACCAGGCCCACTATGACCATGATAGGTCTAAAAGAGCATGTTATACCATTGCTTGCTGGAACAGGAAAAGTTTGGGGAACCTCAGGTGGTAGAATAAATCACATCTTTACCACTCATATACAACTTTTTTCGTGGGTGTCTGCCTCACGGACTAAAACTGGTAGTTGGTTCCACAGGAGAGGTGCCTGATAACTAAAAGATCTGCCTCCCATTCTACTTTTAGAAATTCTAGGAACCACTAGTAAACCTGCAGATTGAGAGCAAGTGCTCTGTTAGGAACATAAGGAACAATCAGATCTCTGATATCAGATGGAGCTTGGCCATTTAAGGCTTTATATGTGAGAAGGAGGATTTTAAATTCTATTCTGAATGTAACAGGAAACCAATGAAGAGAAGCCAGGATAGGAGAGATATGATCTCTCTTTTTCATTTTCATCAGAACTCTGGCTGCAGCATTTTGGATCAGCTGAAGGCTTTTAACTACAGTTTGTGGACTTCCTGATAGTAAAGAATTACAATAGTCCAGCCTTGAAGTAACAAATGCATGGACTAGTTTCTCAGCATCACCCCTGGACAGGAGATTTCTTTATATGTTTGTTATTTTGCTAGACTGTTTGAATGGGAGAAGTGAAACAGTTAAATAAGTAAACATTATTGTTATGAAATTGTCATGGTCTGTCACTTTAAGATTTGCCAACCTGCATATAGTTTGTGTTAGGTAGAGCTTGCATGGATCAGCTGTGTTTTTTCTTCAACTTTTATTCTACATCTGCCAGGGATGGCATGATTTTTATTCTGAGCTTTTGTCACCTGATAGACTGACATTAGAGGAGCTGGCATTTTTTTTATTACATTTTTCCTTCCATCCTTTTTTTGTTTCCCTCCTTCACCTACATTCCAAGGAGAAGCCTGAGGTACCCTATTACCTCCAACTGTTGTGGACCAAGGGACAGGGTTGAGTCGTTTCAACATCAGGCCTGGGTTGGTTTAATAATTTGCCAGCTTTATTTGATCTGACTTGTATGGTGGGCCTACCAAATACAAGAAATCCATTTAGGAAGACTTTAGAATAAAAACATACCCAGACAGACGGTCAAACTAGAGAGAACCTAGTGTGCTTAATCAGGTCAGAAATATTGGTGAAGCGCTACATAAAAGGAGATTTAATAAGGAAAAATTAAATATAAATAACATCTAAACTTAAAGGAGCCCTAAAATTTGATTGGTTAGATTTTTTATTATTTCAGTGAATCTGACCTACTATACTATTTGAGTTAAACTAAATCTGCAGTAGCTGCACTTAATGGAATGTAAATGTTTATTTCACTGCTGCTCATTTACTGTCTGGCTCTACAAACCAAATTCCATTTTGTATACACATTTGAATACAAAATGACAGTAGATGTCTAAATCTAAAAGTACAATAATAAATAAATAAATACATTTGGTAAGGGAAGGGATAAACCTGAAACTTCAGAATATCTCTGTTTGAAAACTTGTGCAAAGCGGGGGGTCAAGACATTTCCCATGCATTTTAAGTAAAACAGGTCCCCATAGACATTTATAATTAAATATACATATTTCTGTTTCATTTAGGGAAGTTAGGCAAATGTAATGAATTAAAACAGAGTGGCTTTGATTATTTCAACTTAAGGGTGGGCTTTGCATATTTTATTACATAGTGATTCAGAATTACTAAGAAAAGTCAGAGGAGGAAAGGAGGAGTCAGGAATTGTTTTGATGATTATGGAAGAAGCTAATTGGCCGACACCATTTATTTTCATCTGTGGAGAGCAATATAGCATAATACACTTTGTAATCTGTTGAGGATCCTTGGATATGTGTTTGTGATTAAATACAACTGTGAATTAAAAAGAATCTTCCCATTTGGTGAGCAGGACATAAGGAGTGCTGATTTTCTTTCGAGCAAATGGCTCTTCTGCAGGCTCAGGGTCATATTCCAACCAAAATAACATTTCCCTGTTTGTTTTTTTGTTTGTTTTTTTGACGTTCTTCAGTGGAGTAATAAACAAACAACATATTATCTGTTTCAAAGCATACATTTTGGAGACCTTGTTTAACATTCTTTTCAATAAACTCTTTATTTTTCTGTACACTGGTTAGATTTGCTCAGCACAGCAAGTTTTTGGGTGCATAAATATGTTTGGGAGCCACTGAGTTACAGTATCTGAAAATAAACAAACTGTTTAAAAACTGTCATCAGCTGGTAAATAATGATATTTAGCTGTTAGTAATAAATGGTGATAATATCTAAGAAAAAAGTGGAGGTCACAGCTCTCGAGGATTATTTGTAACAATGACAGAAGGTTGATTGTAGCTTCTTTAGATTATTGTATTTTCCTCTAAGTTTCATGGGCATTCATGGTCTGAAGTTGAGCTTCCTGTTTCATCAACTCTCCGCTAGGCTTCATCACTGTCCTTAATGCAGCAACACAGGGAAGTTAATAGTTTGTCTATGAACCATTTCTTCAAAAATATGTAAAGAAACATATCTGTCAGAGGGCTAATCTGAATTAGCATGCACGAAAAATTCCAAGAGTTGCAGCCAAATGTGACTTGAATACCATAACAATGATAGACCTATAACTATGGGCAAAAACATCACAGAATAAATCAAAACCACCACAACCAAAACTGCAACAATGCGTCTCTTTTCAGCAGCTGGTACGGCCTGAGCTGTAGACAGAGCTCTGAAGGTCCCAACAATGAAGAATATCATGAAAGGGAGGGGGAGGAGCACAGTGGATATAATATTAAAAGCAATAACAAAGCCCATTAATATAGAAAGTATCCAGGTGACGATAGAGACTGAAACAAAGACCTTAGTTGTTTTGTTGAATCTGTACCACAGTGGGTGGGCAATCATCACATACCTGTCACACAAAAAAACAAATGATTAAATCTGTCACATTAAATAATGTCTTATAAAATACTATAACCTATTGTTTTGAATACACTATACAGAAAATTACCTTTCAAGGGCAATGAGAGTCATGAAGAAAACACTGGCTATAACAAAACCAAAGTAAGTATAAATAAAGGCGATCACGTCTGTCATACGGTGCATGCCATATGCAAGTTTTACAACCTTGCATGTGACCTGGAGGATGTCTGAGATTAGAAGGTTGATGATGAAAACTGGAACAGCACGTTCACTTCGTATCTGGAAAACAAATTCAATCCAAGGTAATGTGACCACATATTAGAGACTGATTTTGAACTCGACTGCTGGAGGTGGGTGTTAGGATAATTGTTAATAATGATGTGTGAGTCTGTTCTGTACGTGGCAAATATGTGGAAATGGAATAAGAGCTGCATTATATTTTGATAAGGCTGGATCCATGGATGTCTCCTCATCTGCAAACATGTATGATGTAATGATGTGATGATGTGGCAGACTGGAGATGTATAAAATACTTCTGTAATTGAATCATGACCACTTCAATGAGATGTGAGCCCGGTTGGTAAGCACTACCTTCTGTAAACCCAAGAAACTTCTCTGATCTGATAATTTCTATCAGAATCTGTTGTCATGTTTCATGGTTATTTAGAACATGTATGTTATTATGTGTTATTTAGAAATTTAAAGAGTTTGTCCTGAGTTTCAGGAAAGAGAAAGCTTTAAGGTGTGAACACAGAGCTTTCCATAACATGAACAACGGCCCACCCTATAAGTGAGAGATGATAATAGATGGATGATAGTATTTGGGGCGGTAATTCATTTATTCTTGCTTTCCATATAGACCATCTTCTTCACTCCTGTTTTTCAAAACTGTTCTGCTGTTTTGCATTGTTTTTCATTTACTAATCTATTAGTTTTCATATTTTCCTCCTTTTTTAATGTTCTATTTTTCTTAGACACTTTAAGGAACTTGTGCTATCCTGTGCAATCAGGACAGCATAAGGAGGGGAGCCTAGAGAAGCTAAATTGATGAGCTAACAGGCAACTTCTTAGCTAATAATCCAGCAGCAGCTTTTAAGAAACTCCAAAACATTAACATCTTTCTTAAATACTGAACCAGACCCCAAACCTCCATCTTAATACACACCTGGGCGTAGAGACTGTAGATGGCCAGCAGGGACATGGGGAAAAAGATGCCGATGACAATCTTTGATAATAAAACTCCTCTGTCATTGTTATCAAGCCAGCAGAACAGGTCTGTGTTGCTACCCTCAGGGTCATCACCATAATCATTTGTGTCATAGACAGGGTAGCTGATGTTGCTGCTGTGATTATAACTTGAATCCAAAGCAGTTGTGTGGTTTTCCATCTTAAAAGCGGAGCATGCTTGAGAGATTTAGTCATAAGAAAATAGAGATTTCAGTCATTAAAAGGTAAAACAGACCGTATAGCTTTACTCATGCAAACATATGTTAAAACTGTATAGCAGGATTTTTTTCCTCATTTTCATTATGACACTGTTAGTTATTTCATATACTTTTGTAATAAAAAAAACATTAATCCTATAAACATTACTCTCCTTGCTCTTATAAAAACTGATGAATGCTATTTAGGTGTTTTATGTGTGGATTGCAAAGCCATGAGGTTCAGGCTGCTGCAAAGTAAGTGTTCTATACATTTCTATTTTCTATTTTGACTTTTTTGAGCTTTTTTTATTATTACATTATTTACTGATTGAGGTTCCTTGAGGAACTAAAGTCAGACCCTAGTCAGTGTGGGCGTGACTTAAGATGTTATCAGAGATAATAATACGATTAGCAAAGTTTTATCTGTCCGATAGATTAACTATCAGTTTTATTGAAACAAATGACATTTACAGCCATTAACACTGAGGCATTAAGTTAATAGATTTCTAAATCAAACATTTTTCATATAATCAATCTTATTTTCTCCTACATCCACAGAAAGTGATGAAAATATTTACCTTAGACAGCTTTCAGATAAGATGTGTTTCCTCCACCTGAGTGAAAGTGGTTGTCCTCTGCAATCACTCAGTCATCAGCGTATATAGTTACTGACATCAGGCTGCTGATAGACACGCCTACCTCAGCTGTTCCTGAGAAACCAGCATCTGTTAACATGTTAAACCCAGAAGGTGTAGGAGGTTGCTTGAATACACACTTTAAATACATCAATAATAGCTTCACAATGATAAATGTATAAAGGTCAGCTAAGAATATTTTCCAATGGAACCAGTATTACAACTTTACCGTGTCTTTATCGTTGATTAAATACAGGAACTCAATCCAAAATCACCTCTGTTTGGCAACCAACAAAGCCTCAAAGGGTTTAGAGGCCAATCTGCTGAGAGCAATTAGCATTTTGGAACAACTAAGTCAAAGGAGCCAAAGTGGTGCTAATTGTGTGTTTTTTTTTGTTTTTTTTTACCTCATATAAAGTATTCTGGTCAAAGTGTTAATTTTTATTTGTAGATTCCTTCTAGATATAAAGAGCCTTTGGTTAAAACATTTTCCCAGTATATCATCAGCCCTGTCCTCAGAAACCCAGAATACCACTTTTCAAACCTCAAACTCATGCATAGATTCAGTGGATGTCAAAAAGAGATAACAATTTATGTGCCTCTATGTGAAGCATTTTGGCACAGGGTGAGTGCATCTTTTGATCTTTCCTCTTTTCCAACTGAAGCCAGAAATGTAACAATGCAATCTTTTCAAGAAGGTCAATAAGAAAGACTGCTCTACGCATTACTATCCACCATGCCAGAGTATTAATGGCATACAGGTATGCATATATAGATATGTATCCCATTGAGGCCACATAGCCAAGTGGCCTGGGTCTTATTTTAAATATTCTGATCGCTGCTGTTCAGGCAGGCAAGTTTTGTGTAATGCCATAGAGCCTTATGAAAGGCTTTAGTGTGAAACAGAAATGGAAAAATTAGAAGTCATTTGCATGTTTTCTAGACAAAGAAATGTAAATGATGAGAAAGGAAAAGGATTTAAATGAAGTTGTAATATTTATAAACAAAGTGAATCTGCAGGTAGTCGACATTTACAGACTGGCTGATGAACAGGTAGAAAAAAAAAACCCTTAAGAAGTTTTGAAAACACAATGCTTTGATCTTTGAAATTTCACATATAGATGTTCTAAGTAGGGAGAGACTGGTGACCTGCCCAGGGTCTTTTATAAGTACTGCTTTGTTATTTATATATAAATATATTTCTATATCAACAAATACTTAGACCGGGATGACAGCTCATAAACAACATAAACACATACATAATTACTTTGACAAAGCTCTCCTGTTTCTAGCTGTAAAGTTTGCATCCCATCAATAAACAAATGGCCTCTTCATTTATCCAGGGTGGTTGGTTGGCCCGGGTGGTGATGTTCTTTTTGATGCTGACGTCCTCAATACATTTGTTGATGTAGGCTGACACAGTCATGACATACTCATCAGTATTAAATAAGTTGTCATTTGTTGCTGCAGCCTTGAAGATGTTCCAGTCAGAGCATTCAAACCAGTCTTGGAGTGTTTCCATGGCGCCCTCAGACCAAAATCTGACCTCTTTAACTGTTGGTTTAGCCCTGATCAGCTGGGGCTTAAATGCAGGGATCAGCATTACAGAGAGATGATCTGATGACCCGAGGTGACCGCCAGGGGCTGCTCTGAATGCATTTTTAATGTTAGAGTAAACCAGGTCTAAAATGTTTTCACCCCGAGTTGCAAAGTCCACATGTTGGTAGAAATGAGGGAGAACAGTCTTCAAGTTAGCCTGGTTAAAATCCCCAGCAATGATGAAAACAGCCTCTGTGTGCAGATTGGAGCTCAGAGATAGCCTGGTATAGAGTCTTCATGGCCTCTTCAGTGTTAACGCTAGGGGGCACATAAAAAGCAGTGATGCAAACCACACTGAACTCTCTGGGCAGATAGAAGAGCCTGCAGTTAACAGTTATAAACCTTGATGGCTGTAGAGCAGAATCTGGTGAATGGTCTGGCATTTTTACACCAGCTGTTGTTGATGTAAACAGAGAGCCCACCACCCTGAGTCTTACCGCATAGTTCTTTGTTACTATCGGCGCGATATAGCCCATAAAACAAACAAGCAACCCCAGACTATGCTTTGAATGAGGTTGAAATTTAGCACACATGGTTAACCTTCCAAAACCAATTGAAAAGGTTCTTGGAGACATGGTCCGAATTGTACAGGAAATCGGCCATTTTGGATAAATGTAAAACTTTCTCTGAGCCACTTGTGTCATATCTGAGCGAACTCCTCTTAGAGCTCTTGAGATACAGACTTCAAATTCACTATGAATAGACTAATGGCATTGGAGATCAAAAGTTATCGAGATCATTTATCTGAATAACAGTATTTGGGCGTGGCCAAGTATCAAACCAGACTCCAAGCCATAAAGCTAAATACCAGCCCTCGGCCATACGTCTACTGGGGATAATGATATCTTCTACACATTTTTAACCCTACAAGACCTACCAAAAAGTCTCTTGGAGCCATGGTCCAAACTGCACAGGATGTCAGTCATTTTTGAATCAAACATTTACCTGGGGGGCCATGAAGGCACTCCACGACTTTTGAATGATCGTACTGGAACATGTTCAAAACTCCTGCTACATATGAAAACAAGATCAGTTCATTAATTTTCCACTTTCACAGCTCTGCTCTCAGAGCTCATCTCTCGCAGCTTTGCCACAGCTCTTGTGCGCCCCAAGCTGACAGGAAGTGTATTTGCTCACCACCTCCCGCCACAGCTATAATTATAATAGCTATAATTTTTTTTAACGTGAGATTAACGCTATGTGGTTTTATGGTACAATTTTCCAAGTACATCCCGCTGCAGCCTGCGGGAAGGCGGGGCTATTTTCCCCCAGTCTATGCATTTCTCATAGGCTTCGAGAGCGGAGCTCCTCAAGGAAAAAAGACGCTCATACACTGGGTGGCGCTAGTGCCTTTTCTTTAAGCCCCACCACCAACAAACAAGTTGAGTGTCTGGTGGCTAGTAGCAACCTGAAATACGCTGAGAAAACAGATTACTGAGGTGAAATGGAATCTGCTACGGCACTCTTGCTGTCTGTGTACGCCACAGGTCGGTATCGTGTGTGTGTGTGTGTGTGTGTGTGTGTGTGTGTGTGTGTGTGTGTGTGTGTGTGTGTGTGTGTGTGTGTGTGTGTGTGTGTGTGTGTGTGTGTGTGTGTGTGTGTGTGGGTGGGTGGGTGTGTGTGTGTTCTCATTTTTGTTAAGAGGCTGAAAAGTAACTTTCTAGAGCATAGACTACCTCCATCTAGTGATGTCGGTCTATTGATTTTGATGTATTGATTGAAAATTGTTCATTATTATCTTGGTTAATTAACATCTAATGTTAACTGTACTACATTTTATAGCAGTAGGGTAAAATGCTTGTCTTTGTTCAAAAGACTGTATTAACTGTAAAGACTGTCTTTTACATCAGCCTGTTTTCAGGGCCTTTTTTTTGCCTACATATTTGTTATTTTTTGCTACATGCCTCCCCATCTTCTTGCCATATGTTTCTATGGCATAAATCAGTGTCTGTGACCTGTTTTCATTTTAAAAAAAGAACATTGGCACAAACCTAGCCTGTATGTATTTTTTGTATGTCATCGAGAGTATTTAAATGATTTTCAATCAGGAAAAAAATGTGTGATTAAATTGCGATTAATTGCGAGTTAACTCAGGCATTGATGCGATTAATCGCGATTAAAAAAATTTAATCGATTGACAGCACAAATATATATATATATATACACACATCCAACAACACAATATAATAAAGATAAAAAATGAGACTAAAAAGAGATCAAATATATACACATATAGCTCTTCTTTATATATATATATATATATATATATATATATATATATATATATATATATATATATATATATTATGTATGTATATCTATTCATATGTAAAAACTAAATCCAAATAAAGTTGGAGGATTAGTTGAGGATTATTTCAGTAATCAATCATGATTAATCCGATTAATTGTTTTACCCCTAACTGACTGTCTTCCATTCTCTTTAGAGATAGGAGATAAATTACATTTTAAGCTGGTTCTTCATTATATCATTTCTGGTTGAAAACTGCATTATCTGGCTCACCAATAGCACAGTCAAAAGCAATCATCTTAATTCCTGACAAAAATTACATTTAATGGATACAATTTACAAGAATTATTTATTTTAATCATTGCCTTCTTTGCCAAAGATGCCTTGAATGGGAACCACTTCAGCCAACAGGAAAGGAAGTTAACCAGGCTTTATCTGGAAAAATATGTTTTGCATGAGGAAGCAGGCTAAACTGCTCAACATTGTCCAGTCATTTGA